CGCGTTAAACTTCCGCAAATTTTTTTCAACAACATCGGAATACTTGAAAGTTTTTCTGTAAATAGAGGTTGAAAGCTAGTTTCAACCTCTTTTTATAGCCGATGAATTTTTTTAAATTGATGTAGCCCTTGAGCAGAAATCACACAAAACAGTTATTTGTAGCTAAAGTTTCCGTCGTTTCTATACAACCGCTTAACCAATTTCAAAACAGAAACCAGCAGTGAATAGAGGATGAAAATACCTTTCATTTGAGGTGCCACAAGGCACACTTTCAATTTAATTTTTCGTCAAAGATGGCGCCCCGACGCCATTTTGAAAGTAAGACTTAAAATTTTGTGACACCTCAAATGAAAGCTAGTGTCAACCTCTATTCACTGCCGATTAAATTTTTTTAATTGATGCAATCCTTGAGCAGAAATCACCCAAAATAGTTGTTTCGAGCTAAAGATTCCGTCGTTCCTATTCAACCGATTAACCAATTTCAAAACAGAAACCAGCGGTGAATAGAGGATGAAAATACCTTTCATTTAAGGTGCCACAAGGCACACTTTCAATTTAATTTTTTATCAAAGATGGCGCCCCGACGCCATTTTGAAAGTAAGATTTAAAGTCTTGTGACACCTCAAATGAAAGCTAGTTTCAACATCTATTCACTGGCGACGAATTTTTTTAAATTGATGTAGCCCTTGAGCAGAAATCACACAAAACAGTTATTTCTAGCTAAAGTTTCCGTCATTTCTATTCAACCGCTTAACCAATTCCAAAACAGAAACCAGCAGTGAATAGAGGATGAAAATACCTTTCATTTAAGGTGCCACAAGGCACACTTTCAATTTAATTTTTCGTCAAAGATGGCGCCCCGACGCCATTTTGAAAGTAAGACTTAAAGTCTTGTGACACCTCAAATGAAAGCTAGTTTCAACATCTATTCACTGGCGATGAATTTTTTTAAATTGATGTAGCCCTTGAGCAGAAATCACACAAAATAGTTATTTCTAACTAAAGTTTCCATCGTTTCTATACAACCGCTTAACCGATTTCAAAACAGAAACCAGCAGCAAAGAGACGATGAAAACACCTTTCGTTTAAGGTGCCACAAGGCACACTTTCAATTCAATTTTTCATCAAAGATGGCGCCCCGACGCCATTTTGAAAGTAAGACTTAAAGTCTTGTGACACCTCAAATGAAAGCTAGTTTCAACATCTATTCACTGGCGACGAATTTTTTAAAATTGATGTAGCCCTTGAGCAGAAATCACACAAAATAGTTATTTCTAGCTAAATTTTCCGTCCTTTCTATTCAACCGATTAACCAATTTCAAAACAGAAACCAGCGGTGAATAGAAGATGAAAATACCTTTCATTTAAGGTGCCACAAGGCACACTTTCAATTTAATTTTTTATCAAAGATGGCGCCCCGACGCCATTTTGAAAGTAAGACTTAAAGTCTTGTGACACCTCAAATGAAAGCTAGTTTCAATCTCTATTCACTGCCGTTTCGCATTTTCATATCTGTTCAGCTGTTGTGCAGAAATGAGACGAAATTTAGCTACAACAAATTGTTTGGCGTGATTTTTACCTAACGACTGAACCGATTTTCAAAAGTCTAACGGCAGTAAATAGGGCTTAAAAATGCCTATCATTTGAAGTTTCATTGAAAGTTTTTAATCACAGCCACGATCCAGACGCCATGTTGAAATTTGCAATTGTAATCGAACGCTTACAAGGCGTTCAAGCAAATCGCCTCTGAAGATGCAAGCCACTCGTGTTTGCGAAACGTCAGGAAGAAATTCTACTACTAAATTCTAGCCTAAAAACCCATTAGTTTGAAACTTAATTGTCTGTTAGCTACCGAATGGGAAAACAGGCCAAGAACAAACTGCTGTTCAAAACTTAGCCACTGATTGTTCCTGCTTGCTTCCAGCTATTGGATTTAAGCCGGAAAAATTGTAGGAATCCTTGTAGTAAATTGCAACCTTTGAAGAGGGCAATCATTTTTATTGCGGCTAGTAAAAGCGCCCACGCCCACACCACTGTTAAGTTAAAGCCTTTCCAGGCGGAAATCGAGACTTTCTTAGGCTGCAGCCCACACACCAACCAACGGGGAAATGGAAGCAAGAATTTGCTTTTATTCGCGTTTTTTTGCTCGGAAATTTCGGCAAAGCGATCAGTCGTTGAAATAACATCGATAAGTTTCTAAGAGGATTCGAAAAAAATGGGAAAAAAATCCAAAAATGGATGGGAGCATTGGGATAATTTAGCAGGCTTCCGGGTTTCCGGGAAAACATTGTTGAAGCTAACTTAAGGGCACTGGAATTTGCAAATTAAATTTTAAGAGTGGACAGTTTTTTCTGGAGAAATTGAAGGAAATGCCAAAGTGACCAGCTTGAACAGCACTGCTATTTTTATGCATGGCTTTGTGGCCTTAGCAGTGCTTAGACTTTCCTAGAAAGAAAACATAATTTGAACATAATTTAACCAGATATAACTCTCCAGTTAATAAAATTGGAGAACTCAAAAATTCCCGAACAATCGCAGCAAATGGGAATGATTTTACTTAAAGAGGCACCAAAATTCAGTGTGAAAAGTAAGCAAAGTAAGCAGACAATCGACTTACCTCTGGCACTAACTTACACAAAGCAGCGTCATTGAAACCCCGCACTGCTCCGACAATTTCCTCGCCATCGTGCCACCAAGTCGAGCGTGGATCGGCAACTGAAACTGAAATTTGCTGAAACTTCTTGGTGTCTTCTGGAAGGCGCTCAAACAACAACAACAGTTGCGTGCGACACTCAGCTGCGAAAATTGCAACTGTTCCAGTTCGCTTTGGTTCAAACGCGCTGGCGATGTACATTTTCAATTAGTTTTTCTTTTTGTATTCGCGTGCAGCTGAATGGCAAATGTTTCACATTTTAGCTGAGCACGTTGATGAAAATCAACTTCAAGGTGTTTTAAAATTGGCCAAAAGTACACACAGCAATGGAAACGTTGCCCGATTTAGCGAGCTCTGCATAGGATAGAGAATAAATCCAGAAAAGCCACCGGGATTTAAGGCTCACAACTTCTATTTTCCGGACACTGAAACACTTGCAATTTTATTTGCACGCACACATTTAATGGGGCGTTTTTGCGTGGGCAAAACACCCTCGCCTTTCTTCTTCCCTCAATAGGCGCGTTTATTGCAGCTGAGTCTTGGATTAACTACCGCATAGCGCAATATTGAATGATCCAATTTTGCGCGGCTAAATTTAGTTAATTATGTCACTTGACGACCAAGTTTCATTACCAACAGCGAATTATTGGATTTTTCCATGTTGCAGCTGCTTTAAAACCGCAAAGTTGATTAAGTCTAGTAATTGCCTAGAAAATCGTGCAATTATGGGATATTTCTAGCTAGCTAGACGAGCTTTTTTTGTGCTAATAAACCATTTTGTTTAATAATAATGTTTAGCAAAAATTGTAATTTAATGCGCCTTAAAATAGTGTCTTTAGGACTCATTTTGCTGCCTGGGTTCCCATTAAGGCGCATATTTTAACGCCCTGTATGATAAAACGCAAAAACGTACTGAGGTCTTGTGACACCTCAAATAAAAGCTAGTTTCAACCCCTATTCACTGCCGATGAAATTTTTTAAATCGATCCAGCCCTTGAGCAGAAATCACACAAAAGAGTTATTTGTAGCTAAAGTTTTCGTCATTTCTA